AACCTTCTCACAAGAGCTTCTTCTTTCCCACCATATTTGGGCCGCTCCACAATTGCATCTTTCTGACACCACCACCATTTTGTCTTCCCAGTTTATTAGAGATGCTCCCGCTATGAATCTGTCTCCCTTGTTTCCTGCAGTCTGTCCATATCAAGAGCTTCGTTATCTTCTTCATTTGTCTCAGCTGCGATAGGAGCACAGAAGCCATTGCTCTGTCCCTTACTTGTGCCTTTTCCCCACCCTGAAATGACCTTGACACACACCACTTGCGCCAGAGTCTGGTCCTTGTCATGTGGCCCGTGTTTCAGCCACTGTAAGTTGTCATCACTGTCAGAGTCTCCACCCTCTTTGCCAATTACATAAGAGGCCGTATAAACGTCCGCTGCCTTGCACAAGCTTTTACTAAACAGAGACAGTGTGGGAGGCCAAGTGGGCAAGAGGTCCATCCCCGAGCCACGTCCCCTGGGAGGGCCAGGAGCTGGCTGCAGGTCTTGGCCCCTGGAGCCATTCAGCTCAGCACTCTGCCTGTGTTTGCACCCTCAGTATCTGAGGACGACATATTATGTTTTCAGCTTAAAGGGGCAAAAGAGAAGCAGTGCTTTCAAAATAAGAATTCCCCTGCTGTGTGTTTCCTTTTGGAACACAATGAGAACAGACTGAGGACATGACTCTGAGCTGTCAACGCTTCCTACCCAGCTTCCACTGCATGCTAACATCGCCAGAAAAAAAAAAAAAAAAAAAAAAAAAACTGCTTAAGTTAAACTAGGTCTTAATGAGTAGTCAAAATAATTGTTTCGTTTGGGTATAAAGTTTTAGGTAAATAGTCGACTGCCTGGAACTGTGTCCAGTAAAAGCAGTTCAGCGGGACACCACTTGCTCTGTCCTTCAGACAACAGCCCAGTGGCCCCTGCTCCTCCAAGGACTGTTGTTTCTGAACTATTTCTCTCTTCCCACCAGCATACTGAAGCAATTTAGTATCAGAAGGGACTCAGCAGAGCTAGGAAAAGAGAAGAGAACCTTCTATATATGCTTGTTCAGGCACTTGGCGGCGGAGGCTTGGGCCCCGATCATGTCACCCACCATCTTCCTGTCCCCAGACTTCACAGAGTAGGTGAACGCGATGAAGCCTAGGCAGTAGTTCATGAAGACCATGTTGAACAGGGACCTCCACTGGTTGTTGCCCACAGCCCCGCCGTCTCTCTGCCAGTTACCCTGGACTATTGGCACTCTCTTCTCTCCCCCTAGCATTTTGCTATTTTTTTAAGTCTCCACCCCCGCTCCCAATTCCCAGAAAGTGTGTGCTCTAGCTAGAGAGAGAGACAGCAAGACAGAGCCCCAGGTGGCTGTGGTCATGCCACAGTCCTTCTCCCTCCATTTATACATCCCCTTAAGATTTGGGACCCTAACAGAGCTGCACCCAGACTACTTTTTCAAGCCATTGGGGTTGGGATTCAAACTAAGGTCTGCCCCGCAAGACTGGCCCTCTGCAGAGCATTTAACCCCATGGCCACTAGCTGCAGAGTATGGGCCAACCCCAGCACTCTTGCACTTTTACAACTTTGTGCTCTCATGTCTGACTACAGTGGGATTCAATAAGGTGCACATGTTCGTAGTGGAGCTGTGATACCACATGAGGAGGGGACATGCTGAGGGGCCCACCTTGTCCTGGGCCCATCCCCCAGCTACCCGCTGTGCTGCTCTGAGGACCAGGGTCCTGGGTAGGTCTCTCCTTTCCAAAATCTGAGCCTTGATCCTAGACCTTTCCTTCAAGAAAGGCTGGTCCTGAGTGTAGAACACCCAGCATCCCAAACGTCCACTGCCCTCAGGAAGGGTGCAGGGGGCCACAGCCCAGGGCCTCTGCCCCTGGACTGATGCTGGGGGCCTTGGAAGACTTGCGGGTTAGAAGAGCAGTGAGCTCATCTGGAAAGCAAGAGGCTGCCACAGGCCCCAGCCAGCAGAGGGCACCACAGGCATCCTTAAAGGCTGTGTCCCTGGGGTGGCCAGCAAGGATGCTCCTCAGCGCCCACAGCCCTGGAGTCGGGTGGAGGGCAGGGCTGCTTCCCCCATCCAAACTCATGACTCAGCCTCCCAGCCTGAGCCAGTCCTTAGACTAGCCAGTGATGAACAAGAGTGCTGTCCCAGGAGGAAGGATGCTGCCAAGGGACTGCTGTGTGCACGACCACGTGCCTCAGTCCTTCCCAAGGCAGCTGCTGGCCCTTCACTGGGGTCCCAGGCCCTGCGGAGAGCGGACCTGCTCGGATGTCTCAGGCACTGCTGGACACTGGCTGGGTCAGGGCCAACCTGCTGAGCTTCTCCCTAGCTCCTAGTCCTCGGGGAGCATGGGGGCTGACGACACTGGGGTAAGACAGGAGAAAGCTAGTGAATGGAAGTGGGGAAAGGCGGGAGCACCTGCCCATGTGGCTAGATATTAAAATCGATTAGGGCAGAAAGCCCTCCGCCCAAGGCAATGTAGAGGGGCGATTTCCAGTGGGGCACGTCTAGCCGACCAATGCTTTCTCATGCTCGGGCCGCTCCTGCCTCTTGGGAGCTTATTTTCACTTTTACTTAATAAACTAACCTTTGCTTTCACTAAAAAAAGAAAAAAAGAAAAAGAAAAGAAAAGAAAGATATGCTTAAAGTACTAATCTTACTGCACTAGGGCTTCAATTAAATAGAATGCTCAAGATATGGAAGGTTTGGTTTGCTTGCATTTAACTTTTTTTCCTATTGAAAAGTTTCTAAAATGCATTATTAGCCCCCAGATAGTTGTCTTGCCTCCTGCCTTACTAGTATTTTTAACATGAATTAATCCTTTTCGAAAACACGTATCTACCACACCTAGGGCCATCGTTAGGTTTCTGAATAATCAGCTTCTCACCCCATAATGAGGTTAAAACAGTGTAATCAGCTTCTCACACCATAATCGAGTTAAAACAGTGTAAGCACTGAATCTTTCAAGTGTGATGTGTTGGTTTGTTGTTAGTGCTGTTGTTTTGCTTTGTTTTGTTTGTTACCTTTGCTATCAACTTGTTTCACTGTTACTTGCCTCTTTCCCAGACATGGGGTACATGATGAAAATTCTGTTTAGTTGAGATCTTGAGTAAAGTCATTGCCAGCTCATTTCAGTTCTATTGAATAGTATTTTCATAATTGCCTTTCCTTTCTTACTTGAAAGGAATAGATGCCTTGTTGATCCGGAACAGGATTCAGTAGTCTTGTTGTAGTTCATTTCTCCAGAACTGCTCTGGATGGTCTCTCTGCCTGAATCTCAAATTCATCACATGGGGGGGGGGTCAATTCCCCTGATATTAAATTTGCAGTTATCAGGGTGACTATATAATTGGTTTATTGCCAAATAACAATCAAAACACACATTGGGAAAAATGAAAAATAATGCTTAACTGTTCATACGCTTTTTATCCTGATGATAGGTGAACTGAGAACATGGGGTTTGCAGTCCGTTCTGAATTTCAACACAAACTCTGCACCTAGTAGCTCTACAAATTTGGACAAATGTTCCAATTTTTCATTTTAAAATCAAGTCTATATGCTCCATGGGATAGAAACCAATGATATTGAGGAAAGAACTCTGCCTATGAAGCCCAGCAAGTTAGATTTAAGCACTAACTCTGCTAATTATGAGCCTAAATCACCATAAACTCAAGCAGATGAAAGTCAGAACTAGACAGTATACAAAGTGCTATAGAGACATGCAAATGACAGTGCAAATGCAAATCATAGTATTTATGATTCCTACTTTTAAAAAGTTTATTTACTTCTCCTGAGAGAGACAAAAAAGAAGCGGGAGAGAATGAGGAGCACCAACAGGTTCTTCACATTGCCAGCCACACCACTCTCATCTGGCTCAGGTCACGTGCACAGGCACATCACATGACCAGAAAGCACTTAAGATGTGGACCCAAGACTTTTCCCTTGTGGGTCCAGTTATATTGCTGCTGCACTAGTGTCTGGCCACAGAATGATCCCTGCTTTGCAGAAATTTAGAAAGAAGTAAACCAACTTATATTACCAGGTAGTATTATTTCAGGTTCTCTGACCAGGGCACTTCGAGGTAGCTCTCTTCTTCATTTTATAAACACAGTAACTGAGGCTCAGAGAAATTAGTTTCCTAAGATAGCATAGGAAGTGAGTGTCTGAGCTAAGTTCTTCCAAATTTATTTTACTCTGAAATTTATATTCTTTCCACTCTACCTTGTTACCTTCCCTGATCAGGAGAGCGCTATATACACCAGATATCATATACTTTAAAGGAACCAAATAAGTACTAAAGGGGACCAGCACATGGCATAATGGTTATGTCATTTGACTCCCATGTAGTCGACCGTGATTCAAGTCCCAGATCTGGCTTGAAACATGCCAGAGATGTGTGTATGTCCAAGATCCCAAGAAGAAAATAGAGGAGAAGTGATTGTGGTGTGGCCATCTCCCCTGGAGGGTGATTTCTCACTTTCTGTCTCTCTGTCTCTCTCAGTCTCTTTGGTGAGCACACACGACTTCTAGCAAAAATCTCTCAAAAAAAAAATAATAAGTACTAAAAACTCTACCAGCTGTCATATGTAATAGCATGGCTAAGTATCTGAGGTACCTGGCATTTGGCTAAACATTCTCTGAGCAGATTCTAAAGAAGATCAACAATGCAATCCCAATGTAGTGTTTGTCCTTTCGGATTCAACTGCTTCATCTTCACGACCCTAAGAAGTATAAAAAGACTGGGAATTCCATAAATTGCTAAAATTTTCACATCTTCTAGGCAAATACAAGAGTATTTCATTAGTTACGGGATTGCCAAGTTCATTACATTCAGCATTAATCAAATATCCCTTTCCACGTGGTACACTTAGGTAAGGCGAAAGGGAATCATTTTCTCCTGACATCTGGCATTGGTTCCTCTGACAATGCTGGTTAAGAGGATTTACAGAGGAACAGCGAACACACTTGGCAATGTTTTCAGACATTTGTTTGGATTTTCTGTTTTCTAGGAGATGTACGACTAAGGGGTCAGACGGGGGTTCCACGGGGGTGCCTGCGGAACGCCGTGGCTCCTACCCATTCATTGACTTCCGCCTACTTAACAGTGAGTAATCAAGTGTACCTGGAAAGGAACAAATGTTTTCTTAAAAAAAAAAAAAAATCCTCATTTCCCTCTAAACTTCAAAAGCTTTGGAAGCCTGCCTTCCTTCCTCCTTCTCCATCCTCCCAACTGGAACTTAACCCCTTGTCATTCAATTTCCTCACTAGTGAAGTCATTCTGACCCCACCCTACCTAATGGAGCTTCAGTGAGGGTCAAGTGAGGTCATGTCAGCTTTAAAAACAAAATTCCTAAAAATCATGAGGCCCTATACAAGGTCTTGCCACATAACAATATTTTGATGAACCACAGACCACTTATACAACGGCAGTCCCATAACATTATACCACATGGTCTAAAGTGTGTAGGCGTGTAGTAGGCCATTTTATCTAGGTTCACGTAAGAACATTCTAATGGGTTCGCGCGATGCATTTCTAGAATACATCCCTGCCCTTAAGCAAGGCATGACTGTATTTTCCTTTTCCAACACAATCTCTCTACCTTTGGCCAAGACTATACTAGATGAGATTCTACCCTTTTTTTTTTTTCTATTTTATTTTTAAAATCCCACAGAGAAGCCTATTCTACAGTTGCCCTTAGTAACCTACCTCTGACCTAATTCTCACTTCTTTGTCTAAGCTAAATCCTTGAGGTCTATTCTTGAATTTCTGGTAAAGCTCTTCACCATAGCCAAGACCTTTTTGTCTGCACTTGTTGCTTCCTCCCTTATGACTACCTCGGAAGTTCCTCTACTTCTACCTTTTCCCTTCATATACAAATCCTTATTTGGGGCTTTTCTCAATCTTTAGTTCTTAACTCTCTTTTTGTTTAAGATTGTCTATCTATCTATTTATTTACTTAATGATAGCAAGAGCAAAACAGGTATCCTCACAGGATTCTTGCCGTGTCACAATACTCCCTCAGTTTGCCAGCCAGTCAGTGTGGGCATGGGTAGGTATGCCCACTGTGTTCAGGTCCAACCGGGATTTGAACCAAACTTCCCATATGGCTCCAGTGCTGCACAGTGGTTCCCTATAGCTGGGTCTCATAATTCTCTTAATATTGGGTTCCTTTCAAAGCCTAAACCAGTGACCAGTCATCCCTCCTGATTTCATATTCTCTACCTTAATCATCCTCCACTTTGGATTTGTTGGGGGAAATGAGCGATGAAGTAGATAAATTTCATTATTTGCTCCAAGGTTTTCAGTGTTTGGTTCTGATATCATTTCCCATCTGGAAATTTCAAAGTGCTAGATTGTACTCACAGACTACTACTTTCCTTTAACAGAAACAAGATCAGCTAAAGAGGGAATTGGATTTGCCTCGGTCCCTGGACATTACTAGGAGAAATTAGAATGTACTTTTTCTGACCTTTGGATTCTTAAAAGGGCAATAGGAGACATGTTTATATTTCACCTGGTTTTTTAATCTCTCATATCAATGTACAATATCTGTTGTTCAGCTCATTCAGGGATGCAGGGGCTTAGAGTAACTTTTTCCGCACTGGAAACAACCTTCCCCACCCAGATCAAAATGTCTTTTAGAAGACAGAATTGAGCCACTAGACCATTGCAATATTGGCTACAGCCTCTGGGAGCTCCAGTAGTGTCTCCAACCTCTCCTTAAGCCTCCGAATGGGCAGTTCCAGATGCCCATGTCAGTTATACCCGTGACAGTCTCTAGACAGTATGGATTTCCAGGTCCCAGGCATGTGGTTTCAGCAAGCAGAAGAGGGATGAGCGAAGAGTCCAGTTAACTGTTTTAAGTAGACCAAAATTCTCCAATAGTATCAGTTCTGCAAGTTAGAGGAGAAAATGACCAGAAAGACTCTTTTCAGTAGTTAGATAAGATGTCATTTTGTGTTTTTTAATATCAGCCACGAACAAATGAAGAAGATAGAAGATATTTTCTCTTTATAATTCCAAGTTCTAAATGGTCTTTTTAGAAAAATTATTAACCCAGTGCTAATGAGTAGTATCACTACTAATTGTGGTTCTTTGCAGGTGGGACTACAGGATATTTATGTACATCATAGACTTCTGTAACACTTGAATTCTTTTTACAATTTTTTTTTTACTTTTGTAATCTGAAAAAATCTACTAGCATACATAAAAAAATGGAAAAGAAACTCATTACAAATATTATTCACCATATAACAGATCGTCTGCAAGCAGCTGCTATTTTGTCACACACCTTCCCACCCCCAGCTGTAGATCCTCCAGGAACTGCCAAGTGTCTGGGTTCAAAACCAGCGTTCTGGCACTGGTCCTAGGTGCTCTCTGTCCCCAATTTCCATTTCTCTCTCCCTGTTGTTCATTGAATGACAATGTTGACATGCATCCTGAGATCCTCTTTCTACTCTTCTGAGCACTCCCTTCTGGATAATACTTTCACTCATGACTCTTAACCTGTAACATATACTAAGATAATATTAATTTATCATCGGGACCTGCAGATCGCATAATGTTTATGTCACTGGACTTCACATGGTTGGCTGCAGTTTGAGTCCTACACCCGGCAGCTTGAAACTCATGCCAGGTTTGTGTGTGTGCATGCCCAAACTCCCAAGAAGAAAAGGAATTGCAGCATGGCCATCCCCCTTGGGGGTTTATTTCTTACTTTCTGTGTCTCTGTCTCTCCAGCAAGTATACATGCCCTATAGCAAAAATCTCTCTGAAAAGAATTTTAATCTATCATCATTGTATTTTACTTCCTAAGTGCTCTCAAAAATTTTCTCCCTAGGCCCAGCCACTATGGCACAGCAGTAACACAAGTGCCCTACAGTGGTTGACTGCAAGTTCAGTTCTCTGGGTCAGTTTGAAAACACTTAGGGCACATGTGCAGGCACCCAGAATCTTGAGGAGCTGGAGGGCTGGAAGAAGGGATTATGGCATGATGGAGCCTGATCAAGGTTGCTTTCTCTCTCTCTATTTCTTCTCTCTCATATGTGTGCTATCATATAAATTTCTTTTTCCTTGATGTACAAAACCCATCCCAAAATATAGTGCAAAATCCTACAGGATACTCTCGTTATATTGACTGACCACTCATTTACTGTAGTTAACTTTCAATCAGATCAAACGGTCCCCTCAAAAAGGTTTTATATTACCATAAATGTAAACTCTCCCCCATGTTTAACTGACCAGGACAGATAGGACTGAAGACCTCTGAGATTTCCTTTATGCACAGTACTATCTGCCCCTTTGTATAATGTCCCATGGACCCTGGTAGTGAGTTATACCTAGAACTGATGACATTACTGTGACACGTTACCCCTCCACAGGTTCCTAACTGAGTCTACAATTACAGCAGCTTGTCACTCTATGGCAGTAAGTGTATGGTATCTGTTAAATGCAGTCACGTAAGATACATGTGTGATATCTCCTACCACTGCGTACACCATCTACTTAGTTCTCTTTAATCTTGTGTATGTCCTTATTATGGTTCACTTGAGTTGTTAGTGCTTTTTGCCTAAATAGAAATATTTAGGAACATTTTGAGCTTGTCTCCTACAACTTTTATTTTTAACAACTGATTCCAATTTTACCAAGTCCAAACTAGTTTGAAGTGGGTTTTTTTTAATTATTTACCTTAATTTTGAGTATTTTTTTTCCAAGTATGGGCACAGATTCAAGACTTCATTTCCCTCATGTGTTTGCAGTTTTGGTCTCTCTCCCAAGGTGAATCTAACCTAGGATGTTGGTTTTTTAACCCTTTTGAAGGAAAAAGGAACTCACTGTGGCCTCCATTCCCTGGTTCTGTGTCTCTGAGTAATTCCTTCTAAAAGGCTTAGGGAAACCCACACAATGCCATTTCCTACCCAAAGAGTCCCTGGCTGCCTGCTCTCTACCATCCACCTCACTGGAGCATCGTAAGCCAAATATATATGAAGTAGTAAGGCCCATTGCATTTCTCCACTGGCCCCATCCGCCACAGCCCTAATGTGTCACAGATGGACAGAGGCGTCAGAATTATTATTGAAAATAACTTGTCTTCTATTAGAACAGTTTCTATACATTAAAACAGATAACTAAAACAGGAATGGCCAACTGGCAGCCCACACAGCGAATCTGTGCCCTTGTTCAGGTAAATAAAATTTTACAGAATCACTGCTGTGCCCATTTGTTTAGCTGTCATCTCTGGCCACTCTCACACTATAGTGACAAAGTAGTTGTGACAGGGAACACATGGTCCACAAAGCCAAAATACTTACTTTTTACAGAAAAAAGTTGCCAACAACCCCAACTTAGATTTTTTTTAAAACAACTTTAAGAGAGCTTTATGGCACTTCCATGGGCAACATTCAGTCCAACCTATTTTCCTTTTGTTAGTGCCATTTTTTTTTCTTTTCAACTCTCAGTGTACTTTTGATGAACTCACATTGATTAAATTTATATGAGATAGAAGTATAAACAATCTTGACCCAGATTCAAGATTTCAGTTTAGGGAACCAGCAGTTAGCGTAATGGCTATGTCGCTGGACTCCCACGTAGTCGACCGCGGTTCGTGTCCCGGACCCGGTGGCTTAAAACTCACGCTGGGCGCGTGTGCGTGCGTGCCCAAGATCCCGAGAGGAGAATGGAGGAGAAGGGATTGCAGTGTGACCATCCCCCCTGGGGGGTGATTTCTCGCTTTCTGTCTCTATGTCTCTCTCTGTCTGTCTGGTGAGCGCACGCGCCCTACAGTGAAAATCTCTCCAAAAAAAGATTTCAGTTTAAAATCATATATATATATATATATTTTTTTTTTTAATTAATAGAGCACTTGATTGCTCTCCAGAAACAGACAGAGGGAGAAAGCACCCCCAGTAGGTATGGTCACACCAGAAAGGCCCATGTACCTTTCTCTTCCACATCTCCATCCTGTCAGGATTTGGGGCATACGTGTACAAACGCCTAACTTGTTTTTCAAGTGTCTGGAGCTGAAACTCAACCAGGGTCAGCCATGTGGGATCCGCTTCACTTAACCACTAGGTTATGAAGTTAGTCCTGAAATCATAATTTCT